GAGAGCAGGAAGTGGGAGGGAGGGAGAGTGTGGAGAACTACAGATGTACAACTTAGAGTGTTGATAGGACAGGTGCCCATAGAGTCTAAGCTCATCAAGGACAGTGGTGAGGACATGAAAATGATGCATGGAGAAATGGTGGTCAACTGAAAGAAGTGCTATTACCAGGAAAACTGGCCAGCTGTTGCAAAAGGTAGAAGGTGGCATAATTAAAAATATTCTCTAAAATTCCTGGGATTTTAAGCATATGGGAAAAAGGAAAAAAGTTACCAGTCTTCCATAACATGAAGGATATGGCGAAAGGAGAGAAAGCAGCCTCTTTTAGAAAGGGTAGCTGTGAAAGCTCAGAAAATAGCATGGCTTTGAGTAGAAAGGAAGTTCATTAGACTATTCAGAGGAGAGTGCAAGGGTTCTAGACATTCTGCTGCTGTGAGATCAGGGGTTCTCAATCACATGGGGGAGAGGGATGGTCAGGATGCCTGCTGAAGTCTTTTTTCAGGGCATGTGCAGGAAGAGATGAGTACCAGGAGGCGAAAGTGGCTCAGAAGTCTCGGGTTCCACATAGGGAACCTCCACATCAGGGAATGCGTGCATCTAGGGCAGGACTGAGAGGGAATTTTTATAGAATTTGTAATCATTCCCTTGTAGGAAAACTATCATTCTGATAGTCAAATTCCAAGATGAATTCTCAAATGCATCTGAAGACCAGCCATGCTAGTGGAGCATAGAGCCTGTTCTCCATGATAAGATTTCTGTAAGAATTCTGGTTTAAAATTCCCATATAAAAGAAGACCTACATAGGCCTCTGCTCAGTAACTGGACAGAGAATGCTTTCTTGTGTTGAGTAGTGAAAGTAGAAGCTAGCGGTATTCACTTGTGGATAGAATGTTCATGGCCGTGGCTCAGGGAAAAAAGACAGACTCATGTGCTATGGATGTGAAGTGAAGAAACATTTTCAGAGGCAGATTCAGGAGTGATAAAGAGAGACAGGGATGGAGGACTAGCATTCTGGAGGTGGTAAAGAGCACAGAGGAGAGTATGGTGGACCGAGGAAGGGGAGATGAAGGGGTTATTCCTTCTTTCGTGTCAACTATTGAGACTCTACCAGTAGCTTGAGAGTGGTAGAATTTGCAACACAGTTTGGGACTATCCTTCACACATTCTATTTCTTCTTAGTCTTTGCATTTTCTTTCTGATTCTTTCTCTACTTCTGACGTCGCGTCTCCAGAAACCATTGTGGACTAGAACTTGTGCCATGTGGTATGTGAGTCAGGACAGTAACTTCCTGCCAGTGACAGCGGGAAAAGAAATGGAAAGAAAGAAGTCTCTCATCAGCAGCTGTCTGGAGAGCCCGTCGTTAGTAAGTGACAAATGTAAATCAGGTTTCTGTAGGTGGGGCCCTGATAGAATATTTGCATATTTATTAGAATATTATAATACATTTATGTCAGTAATGACATGGAATTGATATTTATAGTCCACCTGGAGTAGCAAAACTTCTACATATATATCTGCTTATGCTTCCAGTAGCTATTGTTTTCTGACTTTTGTCTGGTAATAAAAATTGTCACTAAATAAAATTACATATTTCTTTGATGGCATATATTTGTTTTTTATGAGTATGTGTTGAAACTTATGATTTTGTGTTTCATTCACAGATGCACATTTCAGGCACTATTTTAATAAGGATTCAAATTTAACTTAAAATATTTCAGTTTCGGAACTGACATACATATAAGGCTCAAATACATGGAGTTGAACTTGTTTCTCCCTGTGAAGAATTATATTAAAGCATGCTATTACAGGATTGTTATTCTTTATTCATTTTGGTATTAGTCTCATGATGGATTACATGAGCATCTCATAGTTTTGAGATGGTTGAGTCCTTTCATGGATTTCTAAATGCAGAGTGACAAAGAATTCTTTTTGAGTGGGAGCCACTGCATTGTGATATCCTATTTTAATTTTGTAGGATCAATGGCAAAAACATGATTGCTTCTGCTGTGGTTGACCAGATGGATGGACTAGCAGTGTTACATAGTTGTTGAAGACAGGCTGTGGAGTCCCCCAGACCTGCATTGCAGTCAGTTCAGCTTCTTGTAAGGTGTGGATCTTGGTTAGTTGCTTAACCTCTTTAGGCTTAGTCACTTGCGTAAGCTATCACAGAGTGTGGCTCACAAGACAGTTGTGAGGATTAAATTAAAATGAATACAGTGAAGTGCTTAGTAAAGTTTCTGGCTGAAATAATGAATGTTCAATAAATGCTGCCGATAGTACTAAAGGAGTCTACTGTGGTTGACCAGATGGATAGCATATGGAACTCCATTGAAAACATTTATGGGATTGTGACAGATTCTCTTGGTATTTAGTCCAGATCTCTTTATAAAACAGGTGCATGCGTTCCCTAGCTGTAGTGTTGGTAGGTCCTGGCCATGGCTACTCCTTCAGATAAAAAGGCCACTTGGCCTTCCATCCACCCTCATCCTCCCCCTGGGGAAGGCCCTCGCTGATGACTGCATGATTGACACAGGGCACAGAAGGCCAAATTACTTGCTTCAGGGACAGCCAATCTTTTCTCTTTAGGAGTTATGTCAGTGCTTCATCTGGGAAAAGGGCCCAGCTGTATGCTAAATGACATCATGTGGCAAATAATTCAGTGGCAGAATGACTCAGCTTTCTGTATGGCCACTTCCAAACTTCAGAAAGAGAGAGCTGTCAGGACTATATTGAGACTGAAAGTAAAATGAAAGCCTTGCTAAAATTTAACTCTGGGCACTGGCAAAAGCAAAGAGCAGACTCAGTCAGTCACACGATGGCATCGGTGATTATTTTAACAGCACCAATGCCTCAGCGCTTTGACTTCATAAGAATTTGTCACATGTGTCTGCACAGGAAGGACACTGAGAGCTGATGGTGAGTCACATGCCTACAGTGGGTTTCTAACCCACAGGCTGCTTCTCTCCTGCTGAGTGCAGGAAAATCAGTGTAGGGCAAAGATAGATAGAGTTTTGTGAGGAGTTCACATTAGCTCCACATAAAATCTTGATCCTTTAAACTAAAGGAAGAACATGTTCTTTAAGCTCTGCCCTATCTCCCACCTAGTTCTTTCAAATATGCTTTTTTTTTTTTGGTGGAACCAGGGATTGAACTCAGGCCCTTGCACTTGTCAGGGAAGCACTCATTCCACAGAGCCATCTCCCTGGCCCTTCAGATATGCTTTTGATCTGAAGTTGAAGAACAAGCAAGTACAGACCTTTTCTTTTGACTTAATCATGGGGAGCAGGTTTTTCTGAGTCACTGATTAAGGTAAGATTTGTAGGAAAGGGAGGTTCACAGTGTTTTTGAAAAATTGAGTTGTTGGGCCAAGACTGGTTATTTTAGCGGAAGCCCAGCCCACTTAGGAGGAGGGGTAGCCTGAGAGCTCTGTAGTCTCAGTTAGGACTACAAGCCTCTTCTTGTCATGTTTTAGCTTTAAAATGCCTTTTGAGGGAGTGTTCTGCGGATTCTTTGCTTAGACAAACCCTATGGCTGTGCACAACACTCTGGGAAGTCCCAATCTCTGCCAGGGAAGGATGAATTAAACAGTACATGGGGAGTATACAGTGTAGTGTATGCAAGTCAGGTCCTCGGTGACACATCACATCAGTCCTTATAAAGGTAAGCTAGAGGAGAGATGCCAAATATCATTCTTGCTCCTGTTTCCAGTGTCTTTCTCACAAAACCCCGGGAGTTATCTCTTTCCTGACCCTAGGAGATGAGACACCACAAAGCTACAGCTTGGGAAAGAATAACACTGCCCCCTCGCCTTTCTTAAATTCCTGTATCTTATAATCTGAGCAACTACTTTGAAGATAACAATATGCAATATAATGACCATTGTTGCTTTCCTATTATCTTGTTTGGAAATTCTGTATTGTTGTTTTTATCTATTTATTGTAAAAAAGAAATGTAGGTGGCCTGGATTGTTTTCCTTTAAGTTTCTCTAAACTGAACAGATGTCACCATTTTTCTATAGCTTGCCTTGCTGCAGCTGCTGAAAGAGAGTGCTCACAATAAAATATATGCAATATATGTCATTTCAGCTGGATGTTCTGAGGTTTTAAAGTAAAAATGTGTACCTGCAAGCTGTTTTATGGTTTCTCAGTCATAATTATCTCTGTTACACAGACGGCTACAGTTGCAACTCCTCCTTCACATGTGAGCTTTCCAAAACTGTCTTGATATTTCTGCATACCCTAGAAGGTAGTGCTCTCCTTGTGTCTGGCTTGGGAAGTGTGCTGCCAGGTTTACTTTCTCTGTGGGGTGCATATATGCAATCACACTATGGGATGATGGGGGCGATGTACAGATGAAGTGCTGGCAGAAGGTACCCTGGCTAAACTGGAGCTGTAGTCAGATCAGCTGCAAAATAACTTCAGCTCGTTGCATGTAGTATGACTAGAGGTGAGGCTTATTGATCACAACCATATGATGACATTCATAAATGAAAAGAAAGTGGTGGATAAGGTGTTGATGACTCTTAACAGCTCTGGCTTCCTACCTTCCTCTGAGGAATTCGTGCTAATGTTGTGGGTTTCCTCGGGGGATGCCAGAGAGAGAAGGGCTGGGCATCACTGCCAAGCTAAATCCCCAGAGGGTGGATGAACAATTGCTCAGTGCCTTCAGTTGGCTAAGTGATTGACCTTCCCTCCCACTGTCGGCCCAATTTCTTGGCTACTTCTTTGATCCTATCACACACAGATAGTACCCACACTAATTCTGAAATGGACTGGCTCACACTCGATGAGCACCACTGTGGTTTGGCGAGTGTCTCCCCGGGCGCCAGTGCTGAAAGCAAGGTTCTCTGGATGGCGCTCTGTGGAGGTGGTGGAGCAGTCAGGAGTCGGAGGCTTTGGCGGAGGCCCTAAGTTATTTTGAGCCACGTAATCAGAAGGGATTGTGGGAGCCTGCCCACTTCTTTCTCTCTGTCCTCTCTTGTGATGTGACTGTTTATACACTCTGGACAAGAGGTGCCACCACCTGCTGCCCTCACCATAACTGAGCCATGCAGATACCGTGCCCCAGCTCCTCCAAAACTGAGAGGTAAATAAGCCTTTCCTCTTTAAGACTGCTTGCCTCGGGTATTTCATTGTAGTAATGTGAAGCTGACTAATATAAGCATCTATAATTAAAATTTTTCAATAGTTACCATTTGGATTCCACTGGTCCTCTCCGCCCAGCACGAACAAGAAGTTTTCTACCTCCACAACGCAGTGGTGAGCACTGTTATATGGCATGACTGGAATTAAGAAAAAAAAGACTTTTAAACTTTTCCATCTTAGGTGCTGATACCTTGGCTGAGCAGCTGTCTGCTTCACCACAGTTTATAAAATGTGAACCTCCCTCAGAAGGAAGAAGATGGCAGAGGCAGCAGAGCAGCTGCACACCAAGCCAGCGATCCCCACGCGCATGCTTGGTGGTGTGTTCCCAGGGGTTTCTAACCCAGCCCCTTCTGATTCACTTTACATAATGTCATTCCACAGATTAGTCAAGAACGACCTGCCATGCTGCTTTTCATTCTTAAGTCCCCTTCACCTGCCCGACGAAGGGAATGGCTTTGAGCAACAGTGACTGACACTCCCAAGTGGCCGGGGCTGGTGGTTACTTCTCGGAAGAGGAAACCCTGAATATACTCGGAGCCATTAAGATGTTCTGCCTAAACTTAGTTTGCTGGCAGTCTCTCCGTAAACAGACTCAGGGTGCTGGGTAGCTTTCTATTCCGCAGCAATGAGCAAGCAACATTTCCATACAGTTTTAAGTTTTTAAATTAAGGTCCTGCTGATTTAATGCCTTCTCCAAATGTATACGCTTAATTTCCTGTACAATGTCATTAGCAGCACAATCACACATTTTCTATCTCTCTGCATAGGAGCTCTTCCGTGGCAGAGATGAAGACTGTCAGGAAATCACGCATATCTGCTCCCCCCACCTCTCCCTTCTTCCCGCACAATGGCGGTGGCGTTGAGGAGGGGTACTATGCTCAAATCTACTAAAGCCAGGCTTCTCTGAATCTGCTCTCATTTGCATCTCCTTTGGGGTGTCACAAGGAGCAGCACCCTGTTAGCTTTTGTGATGTGAAGTGTCCGTTGCTGCTATTATGGGATCAAAGGGTAAACATATATGGCATTCATTACCACGGCACATACAGTGACTTGGGCCCAGCGACACCAGTAGGAAAAATGATGTCCTTGTTCAGCTCATCATATGGGCATCTTAAATCTATGTGAGGACAAATGGGGAGGCGATGTGCATGTTCAGGCAGGGAACTTATTGCTTGACACGGATCAGCAGAGCACTTAAGAAACCAGTGCAGTGGGAAATCAATATGAGTCCGGGCCAACTCTTCCT